ATTCCCAGCACAAGAGGCTCCAGAATGCAAAGCCAGTGACCAAGACCTAGGCTCCCAACACAAGAAGCTTGGGTCAGTACCCTCTGTGCCCCAACAGGAGAACTCAATCTCTTTAAAGGCCAGGGAATAAAGAAACACCATGAGTAAAAAGAAACGTACCATAGATTCATATTATGAGAAGAGTGAAGATCAAGACAGAAATTCTGAAGAGGACAACATTGTCAACAAACCCACATCTTCAACAAACCCCACTAGCTTCTTTAGACCATCTAATGATGGGCATTCTTTAATAATACATTCTAGACTTTTGCCAAGACTGTCAAACTCACCAGCCAATTCAATGCAATTACTCCCTTCCCCCATTTATTAAACACCTACTGTATTTATGGTATTATGTTAGGTGATAGGGATACAAAGTTAAAAAAAATAATTGCTGCTCTCTGGGGGATACTATATATAAACATGTAAGTAAAAACATATCAGTAATGATGCTTCAGGAATCATATCAGTCATTTCTTTCAGCACCCTGGGTTGCAATTCATCTGGGCCTGGTGACTTGAATTCATCAAGGGCAGTTTAGATCTTTGCTTACAATCTCTCCATTTATTTGAATTTCCCTATTAGTCATTTTTGGTCTGGCTTTTCCAACAGATAAATTATTCTCCATGGTAGAAAAAGCAAGAGAATAAGAATTAATTATTTTTCCCTTCTTTCAGTCTTCCATGAACATTATTCTGCCCACTCAAACTGGCTCTATTCCCTCTTTGATCTTCTTCTTTTCTCCAATATAGTTTTAACCTACCCTCTTCCCCATTTTCTTGTCTTTAACATTTTTTCCACCAATCTTATCTCTTTCTGAGTTTTAGCAATTTTGGCATTATTTTTATAGGGCTGTGCTATACTTTTGTATTTCTCCTCTGTGACCTGCCCTTATTTCCCTCTTCTTTTAAAAATACAAGTTTGTTTACGAGTTTCCAGTTCATCTACACTGGTCTCTTTAGAGGTTTCCTTTTCCTTCTCATTGGAATTCTCTTTGTGCTTTCAAAATTTCATTCTTGGAGCTTCCCATCCTTTCTAATGGCTCCCTATTACTTCTAGGATCAAATAAAAAACATTCTCTTTGACTTTTTTTTTTTTTGATGAGGCAATTGGGTAACTTGCCCAGGGTCACACAGCTAGTAAATGTAAAGTATCTGAGGCCAGATTTGAACTCAAGTCCTCCTGACTCCAGGGCTGGTGCTCTATCTACTGGACCACCTAGCTGTCCCTCATTCTCTCTCTTTTTTTTTAAGTGAGGCAATTGGAGTTAAATGACTTGCCCAGAGTCACACAGCTAGGAAGTATTATGTGTCTGAGGCCAGATTTAAACTCAAGTTCTCCTGACTTCAGGGCCAGTGCTCTATCCACTGAACCACCTAGCTTCCCCTGCCCCTCATCCTCTTTGACTTTTAAAAACCTTTATAATCTGGCCACTTCTTACCTTTCCAGCGTTCTTACGTCTTACTCTCCTCATCACCTACTCTGCCATCCAGTGATACTGGCCTCTTTGCTTCCTTGAACAAGACACTCATCTCTCCACTGAACATTTTTCCTGGCTGTCCTCCATGCTGGGAATTTTCTCCCTCCTCATCTCTGTCTCCTAGTTTCACTGACTTCTGAAGTCTTAGTTCAAGTCCCATGTTCTGTAAGAACCCCTTCCCAATCCCCTTTAATCTTAATGCCTTTTACTTGAGCTTATCTCCACTTTATCTTGTATATATCTTGATTGTATATAATTATTAAAAAATTTCTTCCCCTTTAGACTGTGAATTCCTTACAGGCAGGGACTGTTTTTTGCCTGTCTGTATCCCCAGTACTTAGTACAGTGGCTGGTACATAGTAGGCATTTAATAAATGCTAGCTTATTAGTTCCTGAGTTTTCTTCTCCTGTAGAATGGAATTCTAACCTACCTTTTTTCTAAACCCTCTAATATGTTCTCACAAAATCTAGGGTATGTAATAGACTATGCCCAGTTTTCCTCTCATTTATCGCAAATTCCAAGATTGAGGGCGTTACTTCTTCCAACACTTCCACCGGATTCCTATTATTTCTACTTTCAGCCATTAATTCCTTCTTATTGATGATTCAGATCCAGAACTGGTTTCCCTCTTTACTTCCTCTACCTTTTAAAGGATGAAATTGTCATTAACTAAAAGGAGTAAACTATTAGCTGCTCTGCTTTTGTCAGAGAGAGCCATAGGTATCCACATAAATAAAATCCCTCATCATTACTATGTCACACCTCCTTGTCAGTTTGTGATCTACTTCCCGAACTCATCATCTATTTCCTTTTTCTGTCCAGGTGGTCTGTGGCCTACTCCAATGTCAACATTGCTTCTGTTGATTGATCTTCACTCAGATGTTCTCTACCATATTTCCACTCCTCTGGTACCAGGATTTCATCACACGAATAATAACAATAATGGTTAATACACACACACACACACACACACACACACACACACACACACACACACACACACACATATATATCCTGTAATATGCCCCGCATTCTGTTAAACACTTTATAAATACTTGAGTACATCTCCTTTTTGTAAATGTCAGTCTGTCTTGTCTCCTTTGCCTCTTCTGTTCCTTTGCAATAAGCTATGACCTTCCAAAGACATATTCTAGTCATGGGTCCCATCCTACCACGCCTCAGTGATACCTACGAGGTTAAGCTTCCTTGTGTGAGGATATCTGTTTTTTGGGGTTTTTTTTGCTTAGGCTATCAGGATTAGTGACTTGCCCAGAGTCACATAGCTAGTAAGTGTCAAGTGTCTGAGGTCAAATTTGAACTCAGGTCCTTCTGACTCCAAAGCTAGCGCTCTATTCACTGTGCCACCTAGCTGCCACCTAGGATACGTATTTTGATTTGTTCGTTATTCATACTTTATGCTTTTGTGTGTAGACATTTGACACGATGAACTTTATTGCTGGCTCCTTTCTTGGATTTCATGTTGCTACTGCTATTTTTTCTTTTTATGTTGTAACTACTTTTTTTAGTAACTAGTTTGATAGTCGAGAATAGCTTTCTTCCTACTTTTTCCTTTCCAAAGCTGGGGCTTTGAGCTCTAAATACAGTGCTCTATCTATTCTACTAGTCTGATCTTTGAATTCCTAGCTTAGTGTTCTTTCTGCAATATCATGATGATATAGAAAATAGTCCAGAATTAAAGGCTGGATACATTTCCTGGTCTAACTGGGATGAGAAGAGTTTGCAGGGTGGAAAGAGCCCAGAGTACTGGTTCATTTATTTGACTGAATTATCCATGGGATGAAACTCAAATAGGATATCATTTTATTGTTTTGGAACTTTCACAATATTATTGGAAGGCATTAGTCCTGTTTAGAATTCTAGATTGTTCCCAAGAGAAGTGTGTGTAACTTAAGGCCTTTGGGCTATGAGCAGCCCAAAATTCCTTAGTGTGGCCAGAAGCAGATTAAAATAAAATTGGGAAATGTTTAACAGAATGAATAAAAATATAATACACTATAATGTTAATGTATGGTTTTCTAAGATGAGTTTGACACCATTGCAAGAGAATGAGGGCCTACTTTTGAGGTGAGGAAAGTCCACTTTCCTCTACTCTTTGCATACCATCTGGGGCTCTGTTTCCATCCTGCAAAGATGAAGAGTTTAGCAGTATGGGACAGATGGCAACCCTGGGCTTCACAAACTCTTAAAGGACAATGATGATTATAATGTATGACTTTCTTTCCCGATGTTTCTGTTGCCAGTACATTTATTTCATGCTTGGACACTGCTTTGGGGGTAGTAGGAGTGTAAGAGAGAGCGAAGTGATCTGGGGCCCTTCTCAGGCACTACCCAGAGAGAGTTTTCATGTGGATTCTAGGTGGACTTCAGAGGACTTAATGTTTAGGCACAGAAGCTGTTTCCAAAAGCGTCAGAGTGAACTGGAGGTTTTATTTGCAAATAATTCTGGCTGCTAGTGTGGAAAGTCTTATTATCCCTACTTTGGTCCTTCAGGTTTTTTACTTTTTTTTTAGTCAAAGGGAAAAGGGAGAGCTAACCAAGAGGACCGCATCATGCAGCTATTCATGTTTCTTTCCTTGTCATTCCAGTTCTCTGCTAGGAGGTTGGGGGCTGAGGAAGTCTGCCTCATTCTTAGTTGAGCTTTACTGGACAGGACAGGCTAGTCTCTGCTTCTAGGACTGACGTTGACATTAGAGGATTGAAGTAGATGATCCCCAAGGCCCTTTCAAATCTTCATTATTATTATTATTATTATTTTTAAAGGGAGTGGGGGGGAGGAGAGATGAGGCAGAGAGACATTGACAACGTTGGTGCAGAGGCAAAAAGAAAGAAGGCTTAAGTTGAGGCCTGGGGTGGGGGAGGGGAAGGAAATAACAGAGAAAAAGAGAGTTATAGATGAGGAAAAACAAGGCTTCTCTGTCCCCTTTCCCATTCTTGGACCTTCTAGCTTTGACACCAGTCTTCCTAGTGTGTTAATGACGTCCTGCCCTTTTCCCTTCTATTTTCTGGTTCCTCTTTCTCGTCCTCTGTTCCTGATCTAGATTAAACTCCCTCGTGTACTCTTCAGTTTGCGGCAGCTCAGGTGCGGGTCTTACGCGGTGCTCTCTGAGGTTCTCCCTCCCTCCCCTTCCCACGTGCGGTCCGCCCCGCCCCTCGGCCGGACTAGCCAGCAGCATTGAGTAGACGCTGCTTGGACACCCGCAACTCCAAACCCTTAGAGGCGGGGAGAGGGTGGAAGGGAGGAAGAGAGATGGAGAAATAGGGAAAGACCGAGGGAGAGGTACAGATATGAGAGACTGGGAGATAGAAGAATAGAGAAGGAAGGTCAGAGAGAATCGAGAAGGGAGAAGAAAAGAGGAAGAAAGGAGGAAAAAGAGAGAGGAAAGGGGGAGGGTGAGAGGGAGGGAGGCATCAGGGAGGGACAGAGGGGCGAGGGAAGGGGTGGGGGCTTGTTCAGCAGCAGCGGCAACAGCTGCAGCCACCGCCGCTCCTCCAGCTCGCAGGGCCGGTTGCAGAGTCCGCGGTCTCCGCTTGCAGTAACCAGGCTTCGGAGCTCTCCTCGTCTCGCGGCCGCTGCGCCTTGACTTCAGAGAAGACCCGGTCGGCTTGGAGCTACCGGGGCAGGTAAGTGATGGGGAGCGGGGAGAGGCGGCTCAGGAATAAAGGGTCCCCCCGGGGCTTGGTCCCAGACTAACTTTGCCCAGCACCCCTGCCCCCTACTCGTGCCCTTGCCGTCTCTCTCAGGTTCATTCCGCGATCCAGGATGCGGCACTCGAGTTTTGCGGGAAGGGTTGGGGATTGAAACCAGAACATGGGGAGGAGCCCGGGGGTCCAGCTGGGTCTGGAGGCGCCGAGGTGAGCCAACAAGACAGGGAACACGGCTGTGGGGGAGCCTGCCAGAGAACCCGCCCAGACTCGGGGCTTCCCCGCAGCCGCGTGCGGGTAGTTGAGGTTTCCCTCCACGTGGGGGAGAGGAGGCAGAGAGAGAGAACCCTGGTAGCACCACGGCCCCGTGGTCCCCCGTGGGCAGCACGGCGGCTGGGGCTCTTCCGGAGGCTGGGCGCGCGCAGCTGATGCGGGTCCGCAGGCGGTGTAGAGAGCCACCTCTCCTGGGGTGCCTGAAACACGGCACCTTACCCATTTCTGATCTCGTGGGTTCTTTCCATGGCTTCATTTCTGCAGGCGGGAAGAGGCAAAATACTCCTCCTTCCTGCCTCGTCTTATTACTGCCAGCTTTCCTTCTCTCCTGCTATGACCCACACCCCGATTCCTAAACCTTTTCAGAATGGGAACCCAGAATTGAACGGGTTTGCTCGGAGCAATAGCTCGGGCGGGGAACTGAAGCATTAGCATCTTCTGTCCCCAGCGAAAATGGCTTTCCATGGCTGGGTTGAGAATCCACTTTGTCTGTGTACCCGGAGAGTGGATCCTGAGTTCCTAACTTTTCCCTTCTGTAGTGAGGGGTGTTACTTGGAGAAGGGGGTGAAAGAGTAATGACCTCTCTAAGCGTTCCAAAACGAAGCCGGCTTTCCAAACGTGATTTGTTTTTTTATTTTGCAATAATAACTCAGAAGGTGAGTCACTGGGTGATTAATTTTTTTTTTTTTTTTGGCCATAGCAACTCGTGAAGATTGCCCACTAAGGCACAGAGAGGTTGCGATCTTTTGCTGGGGGAAGGGAGCTTCCCATACAGATGAGGCCACGGATAGTTGAAGTGTTGAAGTAATAACGATTTTGAACCCAAAATGTTTCTAATAGGGACAAACGGGGGTCTGTGTTTGGGAGTCAGGCATCTCTGTGTTTGTGAGAGCAAAGAGCTGGCAAGCTCTGTGGGCTCTTCCGCAGCCCCGGGTTGCTTTGGCTTCTTCTACTTAACAGGGCATCTCAGCTCGATGGCTTAGTGTCGGGAGACATTCTCCGTAACCCTCTAGAAACCGCTCCTGAGGCTCAAATGCCTCTCCCCCCTCATGTTTCCTTTTCGAAAGATTAGAGTCACGAAGTGGTTAAGTGCCGGCATCGTCTCAGGGGTAAGAAGAGAGAATAGTCTCTTTGATTGGGTGAGCTGGGTTTGTTTTGAATCTTGTTGATATTTGGGGGGACACCTGAGACAAGAAAGTCAATGACCGAGACTTGGAGGCCATTCTCTCCGAGAGGGAATCTGTGACCTCTAGGAAGGAGAAGCAGAGGTTGGGTTGGGTGGGCAGAAAGGTGGGCTGGGGGTCTACTTGCAGGTTGGGTGGGATTAATTTGGGGAAAAGACTCAAAAACTATTTCCTTCGAAAAATGAATGAATCCTGTGGAGGGGAAGGGGCTAAAAGGCCCAAGTTTTGGGAGCTCAGGTCTGATTTTAGTATAGAAGAGTTTGAACTCCAGCTTTCTTTGTTCTGGAGGAGGTCTCAGTGAATAGGAGGCAGGTGGGTTTCATTTAGTTCTTCACAGTCTAATCAAACTCAGGTTAATGGGGATAACAGCTGAGAGCTTTGTGGAGAGGTCATTCAACCATACTCCCCAAAACCAGAGGAGGGATCCCCTGAGGCACTGGACCTTGTCACAGATGTCAACCAACAAATATTCTGGGAATGCAGTCCCGCTATATCCAACATTATGTGAACATTATGTTAAAAAAAGTAAAAAATAGTGTGTCTTAAGTGAATATAAATTTAAAATTTAAAATGGAAATGGAATTGTGTTAGTTAACTTTTGACTCCAGTGAGGACCTTTGGAAGGCTGAGTCCAAGTGATGCTAGAAATGCACTTGATTAGATGAAGATGGGTTAGGGAGTTCAAACAGTGCTATTTCTTTGACAGATGTTTTCCTGGGAACCCAGAGAACAGAATATAGACTTGGAGTGAGAGACTTTAGATTTGAATCCTGGTTCTGCCACTTACTATCTGTGTGGCCTTGGCCAAGTCAGAACCTCTTTGAGTCTCCTTTTATGGGAGTCATGGGGCAGCTGGGTGGAACAATGAATAGAGCACTGGGTGTGCAATCAGGAAAACTCATCCTTCTGAGTTCAAATCTGGCCTCTGACACTAGCTGTGTGACCCTGAACAAGTCACTTAACCCTGTTGGCCTCAGTTTCCTCATCTGTACAATGAACTAGAGAAGGAAATGGCAAACCATTCTAATATCTTTGTCAAGAAAACTCCAAAATGGGGTTATGGAGAGTCAGTTACAACTGAAAAGACTGAACAACAACAAATGGAAATCATAAGGTGCTGCTGCCCTCACTGGCTTGTTGCTGGTGAGGTACCATAGAAATGTTAATTATTTTGGTGATTCAAGAATTATTCTTGACCTAAAGAAATACTGATTCTGCTCCTTTGAAATACCAGTGATAGACTAGCATAATAGAGATACCTATCACCTGGCCCTTGTCTTTTAGGAGTTTTCAGCTCTAAGTCTTATGAATTAGTAGAATGGGTAAGGACTGTTTTATATTGTAGTTAAGTGCTAGCCTTAAGTGGTATAGGACTTCAGAGGAGGGAGATGGAGAAAGGCTTGCTGGAAGAGGTGGGACTGAAGCTACACTTTGAAGGAGGAAGAATAGTTCAATGTGCAGAAATTTGAGTGCATTCCAGGTAGTGTGAATTATGTGAGCAAAGATCCAGAGGTGGGAAAGCTTAAGATATGTATTTTAAGGGACGAGGAGTAGACCATGATCTGGGACTGCAAGGAGAAAGCAAGGCACTTAGGTAGAAGCTAGAACCACTTAATATAGGTCTTGGTCTGGGACTTATGCTCCAAGCTTACTATCAGACAGCCTTTGGCTAGATTCTGAGGTAGGGTGGGCAAATAGTATGCATACAGGATTTTATTGATTAGGTGCTATTGATTCAGTGTGGACTATTTTTTGCTTTGAAACGTTTTGACCACTTCCTTGTTCTTCTTCAACAGCAAACATTTATGGAGTACCTACTGTATTTAGGGCACTGTCACAGGTACTCAGATAACCACACCTGGATCATAGATGTAGGACTGGAAGCGACTGCAGAGGTTACCTGGTGCAACCTAGCCACATTATAGATGGTGACATTTAAGCTCAAGGAGGTTTAAGGAACTTAATTGAGGTCATAACGTATAGTAAGAATCAGAGGTAGGAATTGGAGCTAGGTCACCTGACTCCAGAGCCATCATTCTTTTTCCATGGTCCCAAGCTGTCCCTCTTGGGTATACTTGTTGCTGACAGTTCTATAACTCTTTAAGTCTTGCAGAGTACTTTATGTACCTTATTATCTCACTTGATCCTCGAAGCAACTTTCTGAGATAGGTGCTCCCAGTATTATCATGTTAGAGAAGAAGAAATAAGGGCTCAGAGAGGTTAAGTAATTTGCCCACAGTCACAAAGCTAGTCAGTGTGAGAGGAAGGATTCCAATCCAAGTCCAATGCTTTTACCCCTAAGCAAAGATGCCACCGGTAATTTCAACCTCTTTATGCCTAGCTTTGATGAAAAGCTTGATGGTAAAAGCTGTTGGCTGAGATGAAGTTTGGGGAATATCTGTAGGTTTAATTGATCCACTTTTCTTGTTGCTATGGATAAGGAAGAGAAAGTTGTATTTATGACCTTCCACCAGGGACTCTCAAATTGTTTGGCAAACAGTACCTCTGGCAGAGTGGTAACAGTAATAATATCATATTATATGCCTAAAGAAAGGTGCTGGGTAGTACCTGGCTCTCACAGCTCCATTTTTAAAGTCTGTAGCCTCATCATTTTTTAGACCAGACCTGAGAGTTCATTGGTGTAAGGAACTTGCAATGACGAAACACCCTTCATTGAGGTAGAACCTTACCTACTATTCATCTTAGAAAGTTTCTTGGGTCAGTGATCAGTTAAATGAATTGCCTGGGGTCATCCAGCCAGGTTGTGTTAAGAAGTAAGGCTTGAAAGCAAATGTTTCTGACTTCAGTCCACTTCCCTATCCACTACCTGAACTCTCTCATAGAATTTTACTGGTGGGTAAACTGAGTTGAAGACAGATCACACAACTCAGAAAATTGAATAGCAAGCAAAGGTAGGCATCTCCAGGGGTCTCCTGGTTCTGATTCAAACTAATCCAACTGTGATAGGTGAAAGGCTTAAAGGCACAGAGAAGGTGACTGTCTTTCTTGAGAGCACTCAGCTCTTCATTAGCAGAGTCCAGAACTACAATTATAATTTAGAGATGAGTCTCTCAGCCCCCCTCACCCCAGGAGGCCATAGAATTAAAGGAATATTTTATCTTCATCAACAGAGGAAGAGAATACATTGCAACATAATTAGTGAATAAATAGGCGCCATTTGTTGGATTTAGGTTTCATGCCCTGTGGCTCAGTGGGGGGTTTATTATAGCAATATTATAATTGAAAAGGTGTCATCTACTCTGAAAGTGATTCATGAAACTTTCACGGGGTGGGTGGTCATTGTCCAAAAGGCATGTCTTTTTCATTAGACGAAGAAACAGAGCCAGAGAGATAGCTGCTTCTGCTCATGGGGTATTTGATGGTTACTATGTGACAGCTCTCCTTAGAGAAGCAAGGAGAAATTATGCAGAAATGAATGCATTGTAATTGGATCAAGTCCATGCTATTCATTTAAAGGTTGTTTTGTTAACAATTTCAATTTTGGGGTTTTTAAGGATTTAA